CCTATTTACAAAACAAATTGACAAATAATATTATATATATATATATATATATCAATTCTTTAACATATTGAGGCTGATTTTTAGAGATATAAAAATCAAAGGGATATTAAGTTACTTATCTAATGCGCTAAATTGAAACTTAAGTAGTAAATCACTCAATTCTCTTAATATTTTAATAATTTAAGAAATATTTAAAAATCAAAATTTACCCCTAAAACATAAATTCAACAAGACAAACCTTTCATGGGTTATTCTAAGAAAATTGGGTTATATGGCAAACTTTTCAACAATTCAAAATTATTTGGAAGTATATTCTTTCAATATATAAAATATTTTTTTAATCCAGCAAAATACCAAAAATTGAGTATAAATGTAAAATTAAGTATTAAAACATAAAAAAATATTATTACAATTTTTTTTACAAATATTTAATTTTTAACATTTATTAATAATCAATTTTGTAAATTAGAATCTAATTAATATTCCTTTAATAATACTAATAATATGAAATTAACATAATAAAAATATATTAAAATAAGTGAAAATTCATTAAGAATAATATAACTAAAATTCATATAATTTATAACTAAATAAATTAAATATTGGCTGAAAATAATTTTTGAAAAAATTAAAAAAAAATTCTTAAATTTTGAAATTTTTAAATTCTGTGATCATTTGTTTTACTTTGAACACAAAATCTATAATATCCTTTGGTTCCTAGTGACAAATGAGGCACAAATTTAAAGTAGAAATGTAACACTACAACTTTGAATTTTGTTTCGGTAAAAATAATTTTCATAAGCTTAAGTATCGAAAGTCAAAACTTGACACAAACAGTCCAAATTTTTGAATTTTAGATTCATGAAGCTTATTTTAAGATTTTGATTCTCTTAACTTAAATATTATTTGAACAAACCAATTATACCATTAAAAAGTTCACGTTTTAGACTATCAAAAACACTTAATTATCGACCAAATTGACTATCGGAGTATGAAGTTTTGAAGGTGTATAGTTGGATGTTTATAACTATTAAAAACTCAAATATCAAAAATTTTAAATACTAAATTCTTTAAAATTACTCAACCAAATAAAGTACCACACATATCATTAGAAAAATCTTAAATAGACATTTCCATTGATACCAATAATTTTGTTAGATTATCACCAAAAAGTCACCAAAATATTTTGAAAATAAAAAGATACAAAAATATATGTTGAGATTTGTAAAAATTATACAAAACATAAAAATTTTAAGAATTTTAAATAAAATCTTATTTTAATCAGTGAATTTTAGAATTGATTACCCTTTCTCTTTCTCCCTTCTTCTTCTTCTGTAAGGTTTTTTTAAATCAACAAAACTGTTGATAATTTTTTTTTCCTTAAATTTTTTTTTTTATTAATAATACTCATGGACTGAATCATCGATTACTATAATCAATTAGGTTTGGGTATTATAATAGACGCCAAACAACTAATTAAATCTTACGTACCAAGTTGGAGTAGACGCCAAATAACTTGAATCTCATCACCTACCTACCAAGTTGGAGCTTCAACGAGACATGAAGGTACTTTATTTTTCTTCACACTAATTTCAACTGGGGATAGAAGTAAAATATATAACATCCACTTGAGCCTACCATGTTAGAGCTTCAATGAGACTTGAAGTCAATAATTTTTATTGTTAAAAAATAGAAAATGTTAAAAACTATGAAATATAAAAAATGTAAAAGCTTTAAGTATTTAAAGTTAATATATATTTTAAACGTATGAAAACGGTAACAAAGAAAATAACAGTCATAAATAAAATAAAAAAGAATACATGCTGCACCCACAGTAATCCCGCTTAATTAACCATCCTGTAGAAATTCATAAATTAGACTCATAAAATTAGAATCTAAGTATTTACAAAAAATTTGTTAATTTCTTTCTTGTGTACCTAGATAAATGAAATTTACCATTAGAAAATTAAGAAAAAATAAATCCTGCAACCGACACTGTTTCAAATTGCTTTTATTGAAACATGCCGCCGTAGACAATGGTTGAAAACACTAGAATTGCTTTTGTTACAAGGCAAAAGATAAATTCTAGAATTGCATTTATTACAAGGCAATAAATAAATTCTCAAACCGAAATTGCGACCATTAAATTTTTTTTTTTTATACAGGCCTCTTTCAGACATCTGAGAAATGCAAAAAACAACTGTGACAACATCTCAAAAAAAGTCATCAGATGAACTCTAAATATAAGAACCAACTAGTGATCATTTTCTAGCCTGACGCCGAGGCATTAAAACTGGCGAGTCAGAGAGAACCGGTATTCACCATCTTAAATTTGCTGGGAAGTACTGCAGATGAGTAAATTTGCAGAATGTTAACAACAAATTGTGCAGGACATGATAAAGATTAGAAACCAAGCAAAGCTCATGTTTTACTGACCCTTTCAATGAGAGAGAGAGATAATGTGGCTTGACCTTTTCGACATCAATCCGGACTTCGCTCTTGCTGTATAGATCATATCTGCTGCACAAGTGTAAGGGAAAAAAAGAGCTTAATATTGGATTAGAATCAGTGTAACACAACTGTGTGGCCTGTTAGTAGAGTACTAGACTCTTGGTTTCAGTAATCAGAGTTCAAATCCTAACAGCCTCAAATACAAAAAAAAAAAAAGGGCATAATCTTGATACGTCTAGAATTTGGACTAGTCTCCAGGATAATATCAAGTAAAACCATACTTAAATATATGGAGCCACTTCAGATTCTCAACATCCTCATTCATTAGGTGCTTGTATGCTCCTGACCTGTGCAATGCTGCAACATAAAGTGCATCAGTTCAATACGCAAATTGGAATTGAAATCAATGTTCAAAGAATTGGAAAATTTAAAACTGGAGCCTCCATTATTTTACCATAGAATGAATGGTATCTAATAATGAAAAGAGCTGCAGATGGAAGGGTTGTATTGTTCTCTTTGGCCACCTGAATATAGAGATCCCAAAATTAGTTTTGTGTCATTGCACATTCTAGATGCTAAATGAATATCATTAAGGCCTGGGAATCCATATCCTAGACTTAGATTGGGACAGATACCAGAAACATGTAATCATCATGCCCCCATGACATCATCACATTGTTAAGTCCACATCCCTCTGAGTACACTCCATATTTATTGTTGTAAGCAGAGTGGTGATAGTCAAGATTTTCCTTAAAATACTGTGCCAACAACAGCATAGAACCAGAAATTATAAGATAAGAAGACTTTATTCGAACTTTCGAAGCAATGAATTTTTTGTAAATTTAATTCTTTTCGATGAAGAGGTTTAAAATCTTGAAGGAATTACCTTGTGGTAAACAATTGATTTATCAAAAGCACAATCAACAGGATTTGTCACCTATAACACCACGGATCATTATTAGAATTTAGAAGTATGATTTGTTAATTGGGGATGACATTTTTCCTTATTCCTATCAGTAAATGAGACTCACCTACAACAGGGGAGCTCTCCCAAACTAGGATGAAGAAGCACCTGTCCAAGGTCTAAACCCTATAAAAGCAACAAAGCATACAGTTAATAAAATTTTGCAAATTATGAAACCAATGAGTCTTAATTTTAGAAGTCTCAAGAAATAGAATCCCCAATTATACCATGGATAAGGCCTGTCAGGTGCACCCAGTTCTCATCAGGATAGTCCTTTCGGATAGCCTCAGCAGTTTGCAGCAAGCGTTCAATCTAGGGCTCATCGAAGTCAGGGTCACTCTCAAGTCTCATCAACTACATTATTAAGAAGTTCACAGCACTCCCATATGCTCATTTCCACTTGTTGAGTTTGCCATACTCTTCTCTCATTCTCTTGACCTGCAATTGAATTATGAGTCCATTGACTTACCATGTTCAAATATTTAGCACGGCTTGTATCAGGAAAAATAAAGTGATTGCACATAGAAGCACATATTACTTCTTCCAAAGTCATGTGTCTGGTTAACATGATTGATCCGGTAGACGTTCTCCACACCCTGTTGCCTCTCGCTTCCAACATGATAGTCTCTGTTTGCATATGTAAAGTTGATCAATCAAATTACAACTAGATTAAAACACAGGCACACATGCAGGCAAGCACGTAACAAAGTGAGAAAAAGAAAAGCAGAGGTCTTCTTGGTGCATTTCCTGGCCAACAGAAGATGTGCAGGTTTTGAATTTCAACATGGACCAAGGGTTAAATTGATTCAGGTCTAAAATAAGGCCTAAGATTAAAAAAAAAAAATGATGCAGGCCTGTCAAGTTGGCTTTTAACTGAACCTCAGATAAAAATAATATGCTCCATCAAGGATAAACTCTTCAAGATATATCAGCAATTTTCAGCATGAGAAACCTGATCATAGAAGTTTACACGTGATATAAAGGAGACTGTCTTTTGTCAATTTTCCATGATGAGGAAATAAAGTAGCCATGACAGATTTGATGAATATCTGTGGCATGTACTGTTCTGTTTTTGATACTATGATCCATCTGGGGGCTGTCAAACAGAATTATTTGTTGTATATAAATGTAAAGCCCTTTATTTTCCTCGTTTTCTTTCTTTTATTTTTCAGAATAACATGATGTGGGTCAAGCAAAAAGGAGCTACCCAAAAGTGCGGCCAAAAGAGTTGGTCCGTGGCACCATAAATCCCCCATCCAACATCAGTTCTTTCTCCAAATTATCAACCTTGTTAAACCCTTCTTCAACTCCTGATACACAATCCATACAATTAAAGGGTCATCATCAATTCTTGAAGCTCAATTAGTTATTTCTGATTGTACAGAAAACTCTGTAACAGATAAATGAAAAAATATATGTTATTAGTGTTTCAATTTATCAGCTAAATCCCACCGTGCGCATACTTAAAATGGATTTTTAAATTTTTGGTATAAAAAAAAAAAAAAAGAAAGGGCCAAAACCAACTGCAGTGGTTTACGAAAACTAAATGAGCCCTTGGCAACCATAGCTCTAACATTGGCAAATGACATATAGAGGTTTCCAACTGCAATTTATGAACCAAAAGGAACTCGAAACTTCTCTAAACCATATTTCAACATCGCCAAAATATAGGAAACATGGAGAATAAATCACATCTTGGTAAGAAAATGATTGTGTTACATAATTAAGCAGAATGCAGCTCAATGTCTGGATGATGAGTTTAATTTTTGCTTAGCATAAGCAGTTAAATTCCCTTCTCAACAGACACTTATCATTACATTAGATATTCCCTTCTCTCAGCTAGGGGCTAATACGAGCCTAAAAGAGTTCTAATGCTCTATTGAAATGGGAAAAACAAGGTGGTGGCTCTTCTACTTCAAAATTTCATTCTCTTAGCTGGACCTTGATCAATGATGGGATCAACAGCAGGGGGTTGAGCTTCTACTGCTTGCTGGTTTTCTGGGTCTTTCTCTGCTTCTGTTGTTGCAGGGGGAATAAAGCCATCTGGAAATGGGGGCAGTGGAGGAGCTGGTGGTAACTGCAATTTGAACAGAAAGTTCCTTCTCAAAATCATGAAGAAATCACTGATAATTCTTCAAAAATCAAGCAGGACTACTAAATTTTCTTCATTAAAAATGAACATTGCGATTTATGAATTATCAGACAGCCAGTTTCCACATGACTATTTTCCTAAGTACTTGAAAACCAATATAAATTCTATACAAAAATCGGTGGAAAAGAGAGACAAGTAGACAAAAAAACAATAAAAATCTGAAACCAAGAATCTCAAGTCCCTCGTGTTATAGGTCCTACAGTTTTAAAAATTAACATAAGCAAAAATTTTATAAGTTACCTTTCGCTGTAAGGAGTTGAGAATATGATCCACACGCTTAACTTCCTTAAAGTCAATTGCCTCTTTACCACCCTTTGATTCAAAAGTTTCACTCTCATTTTCAGTATCAACTGCATCAGGTATTTAATTCAAACTATGTAACATGTCAATAATTGAGGCAGACCAGAGACTCCTAAAATAAACAAGCAACTTGGAAAAGCAGGTAAATCAAAACCAGTCAACTGCGTAAAAGCAAGGATGATATAACTACATTGGAGAAATAATTATAGGTTACAAGAGAATTTTAGATCAATATTGAAGACATGACTGGGTTACAAGGAGAAGCAGCCAGAATGAGCATTATACAAGAATAAATGCAAGAAAGAAGTTGCCAACTTTAGTAGCATAAACAAGATCAATGAATAAATCAAAAGAATTTACAGTTCAATAAAACTGTTTTACTTGGAAGAAAAAATAGATCAATAAGTAGAATCAGAAAATAAAAGGGTGAGGTCATGCAGAATATTTTAAAGAAATATCTTAAAACAATATTAGAGAGGCAGACTCTTTCTCTGTCTTTAGATTATTCCCTGCCAAGCAAATTTTCATATAAGCTCGCTATTATTCAACTTATAAGTGTTCTTTATCTTTTTCCTCTCTTTGCCTCAATATCTTCAAATAGCATTCAGTTTTCCTTTAACATTGAAAAGCCTGTAGCAGAACTCAGGAACTGCATGGAGACTCAGTAATCGCAATGGAGTTATTTCTAATTTGAACGAGCATTACATGCCAATGGAATTATTTCTAATTTAAACAAGCATTAAATGCCAATCGGTAACTTGGGATATTGAGAAACTTGTTCTGGGTTTGCCACAACAACAAGAATATAATCTCTCCTAGTAGCATTACATGCCAATCAGTAAATTGGGATATTGAGAAACTTGTTCTGGGCTTGCCAGAACAACAAGAATATAATCTCTCCTAGTCCTTTTTCACCTAGTTCTCTCTCCTTTTTTTTTTTGTTTGACAAGTAGTTGGTAATTTAATGAATATTAGTTTAAAAAATAAGCATAAATAATCTCCAATTAAAAAATCAGAAATTCCCTTCAATATACTAAACACATTTGAACTTTTTTGAATAAATGTTCTTATCAAAGAAAAAGGATAAAGAAAATGAAAATAGTTACCGTATCCAATCTTCTCCAATTTTGATGCAGCAGTGGTAAAAGCTTTTGATATATAATAGAGAGCACGTCCCTGTAACATGGGTAAATTATGAACATCCAAAAGATAATATGTGCATAAAAAGAATCTATCTTAAGAAGTGAAAGAGAGAGAAAGACTGAGAATTATATGAAAAGAGAAAATGGATAGTCTATCCTTTTAACTCTGTCCACTCTTCAAAACTCTTTTTTCCCTTTTTTTTTTTCCTTTCTCTACTTTTTTTCTTAACAAGATGTTCATTTCGAGGTGATTAATACAAATGATCAAAATGCCTGAACAAGAAACCAGTTTTGGCAATATTTCTTAAAATTAAAAAAAAAAATAATGTTATTACCAGACTGAAATCCAATGAGCCTTTAGGTGATTACATTGTTGAATTGTACAGAGATAAAACACAAAAGAAAACCAATACGACTAAACTTACAACTCGAGCCGCAAAGACGTTACAAAGCTGTGGTGCTTGGTAAATGGAACCATCCAATATGTAATATGCCAGCATCGGCGTGACTTTCTCTGGACTGTCCCTCTTTTGCTTACGGATAACAAAGAGGTGTGGCTCCATAACTTCACTAAGCATGTACTCTATGCCGGTCATTTTCCTATATGAAAGGAAAAAAGGTATCTCATTTCTGATCTTCTACCAAATATCAAATGACATAATTGAAGTAGATCAAATGCCAATCATAGACAAATAGGTATGTTTTCCTGTTCTTCTAGCAGAATTGCATGGAAAATGCCTCATCTTCGCATAATATGAAAAACATAGTAATAACAATTTAAAGCTTTGAAATACCCAAATCAGTATTTCTTTCATACTCCAACTGGGTTTCAAAATTTTGACATTTTCAATTCCTAAAAATGAAACACTAAAGCTAAACTTGCAACATGCCAAGAACGTTAATTAAAGAAAAAAAAAAACAAACTTTAATTTTCATACGAGAGTTGAGTGATGTCGAGAGGGTGAATGGAACGCATCCTCAGCTGCTCGTTGTTGCAGGTCCAATCATAGAACGGGGACAGAGCAAAGTAATCGAAGATCAAGTTTCGATCAAGAGGATACGTGTTCAGCCACAATTGATCTCTGAAACATATACCTGTCATATCCGTTCCAGGAGGCTGCATCGCCGGCGGTGGTGGTGCTTCGAAGTTCCCACCTGCCGCCGCCTGCGGTGGCGTCGCCATTTTGGGGTTGGCTCTATTTGGGATTTTCGTCAAAAAGGAGTTAAAAAACGGTTGTTACGCTCTTTAACGATATAAAGACGGCTCGCAAGAGACGCAGTCGTAACACCGACAATATAATCGTTGCAAGGGTTTTTAATAGCTTAAGTTTATCAAATTTGAAAAACTATGCTATATCTTAATTTCTCTTTTTTCTTTGAAAAAAAAAATATGTATTTTATTTAGTTTAATAGTTGCCAATTTGATAATATAACATATATATATGTATGTATTTAATAGTTGACAATTTGATAATATATGTATATATATATATATATATTTTTATATATGTATTTGGTCGCTACATAGAATTTGAATGTTTTCTTTTCCAAATGAAAAAAAAAAAGGTTTTATACTTTCAAATTGGCTAGGAGAAAGGCAAAAGATTGATGGCATCTGGTCCTACTCATGAATTATTTTTATTCGTTGCGAGGCACAAATAATATTGGTTAAATGATCTAAAACTAAAAGGGACGAGGTAAAAAAATAACTAAAAGGGTTGAAAGGATTCTCAAATGTTAAAACATCTAGTGTAGCAACCTCCAATTATTTTTTCCTCTAAATTTGGTCAGACTCTCCCAACTTTTTTTCTTTTGATCCTCTATTTTACATTTAAAAGAGACAGCTCTCCCACACAAGGGAATTGGGGATTATCACCTAATAATGCGGGCGTCAACACACAAGATTTTATCTTTAGAACAGAGAACGAATTGGAAGCAAAGGTATCCAAAGGCAGACTAGGCCTCGGCCACCTCGGGTATGAAAATATCCCCTGAAATACCAATTCATTGATGTAGTTTTTGGTTGCCAACTCGATGAACGGGTTAATCCGGAAAGCATGTCTTTCATAAAAGACGAACAAGTAAAGGCTGCGTCTTTGGCAAGCAAGAAAAAGAGAATTCGATCAATAACATGTTCAGGCAACTGGGAAATTCTATCTGTTCCATTCGGTGAACTAGGGTCTACTCTCGTATTTTCCATGTCTGCTGTTGAAATCCCAATTTTTTTGCGATATTTTTTTTGGATAAGTAACGAATTTATTATCCAAGAAGCAGCAATAACTGCTACCAAGTACCTGTACAACAATGTTCAACTTTTAAACAAACATTTCTCTACCTAGCTCCTATTTCTCACTTAGCACTTGATTAATTTAGTCGTATCCTATTTTTTTTTTACCTATTAATCTTAGTCTTACTATTTTTTTTTTGTTAAGCAACAAATTAAAAATCAATTGACCGTACATAAAAAATTTTAATTTGAATATAAAATTAAAAAATATTAAATATTTATTAAATATGAGATAATTTTATTTTAATAAGTTTCTATCACGTATAGACAAAAATAAAAAAAGTTTATCGTGTGACAAATTTAGAAAAAATAACAAGAAAAAAATTTTGATTCTAATATCATATTAACAAGATATCCTGACTATAATATCATATTAAGCATCCAACCTAACACTAATTAATAATAAGTGAAGGGACTCAACCTGAATATAAAATTATAAAAAATTAAATATTTATTAGATGTGAAATAATACTACTTTAACAGGCCTCCTATCACAGTAGGTAGAGATGAAAGAAATATATAAAACTATAAGAAATTATATATGGGATAACACCATGTGACAGATTTGGAAAGAACAACAGAAAAAAATCATAACTCTAATTACATGTTAAGCATCTAACTTAAAATCAATTAATAGTAAATTAAGAAGTTCAACTCGAATATAAAACTATAAGAAATTAGGAATTTATTAGATATGATATAATACAACTTTAATAGGCCCCATCACGTGTAAGCAAGAATAGAATAAGCCTATTAGATTATAAGAAATTATATATTTATTAGATATGGGATAATACTACTTTAACAAGCCATCATCATTGTAGGCGGAGATGAAAAAAATCTATTAACTATAAAAAAATTATATATTTATTAGATGTGCAATAACGTCACTTTAACAAAATTTTTTTCTGTCACCTTTTTCAAATCTTTCATACGATAAACTTATTTCATTTCTGCCTACACAAATAGAAACATGTTAAAATGATATTATCATATATTTAATGAATATTTAATTTTTTGTAGTCTTATATCAGATTAAACCCCTCCACTTCTTATTAATTGATTTTAAGTTTGCTATTTAACATAATATCAGAGTTATGATTTTCTTCTATTGCCCTTTCAAAATCTGTCACATGATAGGCTTTTTACATCTCTACTTACACGATGGAGGCTTATTTAAATGGTATTATCTCACATCTAATAAATATCTAATTTCATATAATCTTATATTTAGGTTGAATCTCTCCACTTACTACTAATTAATTTTAAGTTTGATGCTTAATATAGTATCAAAATCATAATTTCTTTATGTTACCCTTTCCAAATCTATCACATGATGGGCTTCTTCTATACTTATTTGCTCGTCGTGGGAGCTTATTAAAATAGTATTATTACATATCTAATAAATATCTTATTTTTTATAATTTTATATTCAAGTTAGGCTCATCTACTTACTATCAATTGGTTTTAAGTTAAATGCTTTTAACATTTTTTACTTGCTTTAAGATCTTCTCGCATGTTTTTTCTTCTTATCCGAAAAGTCTTATGTTCTTTTCTGCCCAAATCAAGTAAATATATGCCCCTCAGGCTAACCTTAATATAACTGAAACTAGTGCTTTCCCTTTCAGCTTGTATACTGCCCATTGGAACTCTTCTTCCTAGTTAGCCACCTCTTTCTGCATATTACATAACTGTAGCACATGTTTCCAGATAACTTTTGAGTATGTACAACTAAAGAAAATGTGACTCCTACTCTCATTTTCCTGTTTACATAACACAAATCCCACATCCATAGGAATCCCCTATGAAATTAGCCTATGGTAGTAGGAAGCTTGTTAAGGATGGCCATCCAAATTATTATAAAGTGCTTAGGGACATGTAACTTGCACCAGATAAGTCTATGCCAAATGACCTTCAACTACTTATTCCCTCGAAACTGGCAGTAAAGTAGCTAGGATCTTTCCGTACTAGTCCATTCTGTGTTTATGTTAAGAATCTGGAGCAATACTTCTAAGCTTAAGCATCTTTTTCAATCCACAGCTATAGCTATGGGAGACTGGAATCTCCTATATGCTTTTTCCCTTTAGTGCATAACTCTAAATCCATGCTATCCATAGAGAGCCAGCCTATGTAAAAATAAACCAAAGAAGTCTTAGCACACAAACTTGATTGCATGCCTCTATGTCTTTTAATTCAAGCCCTCCCTCAGACTTGGGCCTACAAATTACTTGCCAACTGACTCAAGCCCCCTTTACTACGCTGGTTCGCCCTTTTTAGAAGAACCTTAGGCAAAGCTGAGTAATCTCCTTAAGAATCTGCTTAGGCAAAATAAAGTGCCTACACCAGTAGATATGGAGACTAAAGATAACAAATTGGATTAACTGTAACCTACCAGTATAAGTCAGGTGTCCTGTTGCCTAACACTGAATTCTCACTGTGATCTTTTCAATTAGTGGGGTATAGTCTCCAACACTAAGCATGCGGGTAACCAGTGGTACCCCTAAGTATCTAACAGGAAGAGAACCATGCCTAAACCCTGTTGCAACTAGTATTTCACCTAACTTGTCTCTTGAAACTCCTGTGCTAAATAGCTCACTCTTTGCACAATTCAGCTGTACGCATGAAAACGAGTAAAATAGTTCTAGTACATTCTAAACACCTATTATAGACTCCAGCTTCCCTTTTGTGAAAATTAGCAGGTCATCTGCAAAGCTCAAGTGTGTAAATTGGATCTGCTTACACTTTGGGTGATCAGAAAAAACTCTATTAACTGCTGTTGTATCCAAAAGCCTAAAGAGGACATTCATTGCCATAACAAATAAGCTGGGTGACATAGGGTCCCCTTGCCTTACTCATTTAGCACTCTTAAAATAGCTAACCAATCCTCCATTAATTGACAATGAGAATAATGGCGTGGTGAGAAAACATATAACCCAGTTGATAAATCTCTATGGAAACCTCATAGCCTCAAGCACTATGATCAGAAAATCCCAATTTAAAGAATCAAAAGCTTTTTTTAAATCTACTTTTAATACGCATCTTCAAGAAAGCGTTGTTTTGCTATAACCTCTCACCAGTTCCTGTGCCACTAATACATTATCCATGATGCTCCTCCCTTTGATGAAAGCACTTTGATTCTTGCTGACCAACATTGACAGCACCTATTGCAATCTACTCACCAATATTCTGGTGATGCTCTTGTAAATAACAAAGTAGCATGAGATAGGTCTAAAATTAGTAATGCTGGTTGAAGATCGACTTTTTGGCACCAAAGCAATAATAGTGGAGTTAAAAGCCGGTAGCAATTCTCCATTCCGAAAGAAATGTGCAATGGCTCTAGTGACATCCTCCCCCACTGTGCTCCATGCAACCTTAAGAAGGTGAGCATTGTGACCATCAAGCCCTGGTGCGTTGTCACTATGCTGAGAAAATATAGCTTTATGTATTTCCTCTCTTGTAATATCCCATGATAATGCATTCCGCTGTTCTTAAGACAAAAAATCCTGTAAAAAGCCATCAAGTATCTTTTTTAAGCACCCTTCAACATTTATATTTACAGTGCCAACAATTGCTTAAAAAACTCGACAACTTTTTCTGAAATTTGTGAAAATGTATCCGGTCTGTTTCCTTCATCATCATACAAAACCTTTATTATGTTTTTCTTCTGCTTAGCTGCAACTATTCTATGAAAAAACATCGTGTTCATGTCTCCTTCTTTGATCCATTGTATACTCAACTTCTGCCTCAATAAGCTTTCTTCAGGTTTCATCAATTCATAGGCTCCGATGAAAGCTCTGACTCCCTTCAAGTATCAACTGTAGTAGGTTGAGTTAGTTCAGCTATTTGTGCGGCTACTAACTCTTCCCTCTTAGCTTTTACCTTCTCACTTCATTCACCAAAATGTGCGAAGTTGAATTTCTTTAAAACAATTTTCAACTTTTTTAACATTTTATGCAAAATAGCCATTGGTGAACCATGGGCTGGTAGCCTCCAAGATTCCTCAACTATCTTCAAAAACTATATGTGCCTTGTCCAAAAGTTGAAAATTTTGAACAGCCTGGGCACGGATTGCCTTGGCACATTCATGTTAATCAAAGCTAAATAGTA